TGTAGCAGAACAAGATGTATCTTTAACATTTTTTTCATCTTTTCAATCAGAAATATTCTCAGGCTTGTATTTGTTCTGTGTAGGAATAATATGAGAAAGCATAAGCCAAGTAAGTTTCTCTTTGTCTTTATTTTAAGGAAAATAATCTGATTTAGTACTTTTACCTTCCCATCTTTTAAAAGACACTAGTCTTTGCTACAACAAATATTTATTGATCAAAACAGATTTATGTATTTGATATTTTTTTTAAATATTATTCTACCTTTAATTCTAAGTATTTGCCTATTTATCACACCTGACAGTGGCAATATCATCTTTCCTCTACCAAGGATAGAAAAAAATTGAAATTTTTCTACATTTAATGTCCTTTTATAGTCCTTTACAAAGGGAAAAATTCCTTGCATTTTTAACAGGAAAATAACCAAAATTAAATAAATAATTTACTGAACTTAATGTCTTGAAGAAATAAGAAATAATAGAAAAAATTCAATATTGAACTAAATTAGGCAATACAGTTAACACTAATGAAAATAAGGAAAAATATCCATGAGTGTTTATAAAAACATGAACAAGATAAAAAAATTACCTGTGAGAAAAATAAATCCATATGTAAGTCACCTATTTTTCTAACATTTTAGAATCATAAACTTTATATTGCATAGTTAAACCTAATATTGATTTTAGCTAACACAATGTGTCTTACAAGTTCTTCCAGTTTAGTTTTACCATCCAGAGCCAATGATGTAAAATATACTGTAGTCTCCAAGTAGGAGCCCAAGACCTTAAAACAAATCCTTAGATAATCAGGCACTTAACAGTGACATAAAAACCCCAAGATTTGTCTAGGCTACTTAAAAAGATAGTCTAATGAAGAAATGAAATGTATTCCAACCCTGATTTTCTATAATTCAACAGGCATACAGAGGACAGTTAGTTTAAAACAATCTGTATAATACAGCACCCAAACAGTGTTGCATCAATATGACACATCCTAGAACAAGAAAAATGAGCCAAATATAGTCCTTGTTTACTTCTAGAATGGAAAACTTGAGAGATCACTAATATTTTTTCATTTAACTTCTCTGAATTCTCTCAAACGAATATCAGACATGACATTTAAAAGGAAAGTTGGGACAATGTGAGAGATTTGTACTGATTTTCACACAGAAAGTGAACTTACTAGATGATGGGGTATAGGGCTCAACATTCCAGAGGAATAGCTAATGTCTTAATTTTTTCTTACCAAAATTTATGAAATCAATTTATGAAATGTTTTCAACAAATATGTTTCTGCCTTGAAAATAAAAACTGAAACTACTGTAAAATTGTATGTTAACTATACTTCAATTTAAAAACGAAAATAGGCAATTACAACATGACTTCTTTTAATGCAGAAGGAGGCTTCGTCTCCTAAGTCAGAAGTTGGCAAACTGTAAAAGACCAGAGAGTAAATAGTTTCAGCTTTCTGTGGGTCACATGGTCTCCATCTCAACTACTCAACTCTAAAGTAAAAGCAGCCATAGACAATATGTAAACAATGAGCAAAAATCTGTGTTCCAATAAAAATTTATAAAAACAGGATGCAGGCCAGGTTTGCCACAGGGGCCATTGTTTGGCAATGCTTACCCAGGGTTATACACTCAATGATTGACTGCTTTACCACTTACTCAGCCTGATACAAAACATCATTGTACAAATGTCATGTTAAGTGAGGTGTGTCCAGGAAAGTGTGAGTAAATCCTTGGGCTTTGCAGTGAATCCAAGAGAAAAAATGCTCCTGTATGATCTGAGACCCCAAAATACACAGAATATTAAATCACAATATACTAGATATCATTGCTGAAAACATGAGGTTTGGTCACCCACACGTATGACACAGTCCCTCCCTTCCCCCAACTCTTCAGAACATGGGACACCACTCTTTTATACAATTCAAGCCATCAATGCCTGGTGCTGTACCTTATGTTTGGGCTGGCACCTGTGAGTATAACTGTCATCCATTAAGGCTTATTTGTGCTTCCTATCTAAGTTTCCAGAGCCTTCACTCTCAAACAGCACTTCTCAAAAATTTTCCAGAATTTTCCACTTTCCAGAAATTTCTGTGGAGAGTTGATCTGCCTGTGTGTAGATATGGCATCATGCCTTCAATCTTACTATTACAGGCTCTCTAAAACCCTCACATTCCAGTATAAAAAAGAAGATTCAGAATCACTGGGAACTGGGTCATAATCGTGAGGCACTTATAAACATCATTCCACACAAAAAAAGTTGCCAAACCAGAAGCAAGGACAAGATGTAAGACATAAAGGACCAATGATTTTTTTATGACTGAGGAGGTCATTCATGTATTCAGTCAATATTTATTTATTCACTTCCTGCTATGTTCTAAGGTGCTACATGAGACAAAAGTCACTGCCCTCATGGAGATCACAGTCTAGTACACTAGTACAGCATACTAGTAGAATGAGATATTTGAGCTGGGAGTGGCCTTTATATTGCACAGCTCCAGGGTTTCACCATTCATGTCACAGTGTATGTCAGTGGCACCCCCTAGAGTGGTAAAATGGACAACCTGTAGAGTCTTCCATGGTGACCATGACTTGATTCTTGAAGGACTAGGATTTTAGTAGGTACAGAAGCAGAAGGAGGGCAGTCCAGGTAGAGGAAAATAGTATATGCGAAGGCATCATTTATTTAGTGCCTAAGGTTGACGTGGCTGTAGGCCCTGGGGCTACTAAGAGTAAATTCTTGTGACCTGAATTATAAAACCACATCATTCCTTCAGTCATTGAAAAAAAAAAATAGTTGTTAAGCACTTACCATGATCCAGGCTCCACTATAAAACATTGGGATACAGCAGTGAACAAATCCAAAATTGTACCCAACCTCATGGAATTCACAATCCAAGACCATATGAAGAATTACAAGAATGATGAGCACTTCAGTAGTAAAGTACCCAGCGTTAGGAGTGCTTATAACTGGGCGAACATACCCGATTCAGGTAGTTAAAAATTGGAGGGATGGGAGAGGAATGGATGGGGTAAAAGCATAAAAGAGGGGAATGGGCTTGGATTGTTTAGGAAATCAAATGTCCACAGCAAAAACAATTCAAGAGTGTCTTCAAAGACACTCTTTGGGCAGCTCGGAAAAAAAAGACATTTAATACACTTCTTGCTAATCCTGGATGTTAGGTCTCCATAGGAATGTGTAGGGGGGAACGTTGACCTCAGTGTGAATTCTGTAGGGGGGAGGAATTTCAAAGAGAAAACAGTTCATTTTATAGAAACTAGTATGCATTTGTTTCATTAAGCAAGAACTCTTAACACTTAGACAACCAAGATTACTGTACCACTTACTACAGGTTACATCCTCAAAAGTGTGTCTGTAAACTTCAGATGAAACTCAGGACCTCCAAAGCAGCACCAGGTCCATTCCTAGACCCTGACTCAGCCTTCTTCCCCCACTTACAAACCAGGGACAAAAAAAAAAAAAAAAAAAAAACCAAAAACCTGCATCTTTTTCTGTTCAATTCAGGAACTTAGATGTCTTACTGTAAAAAGGAAGAAACTCTCGTGAAATGGTGAAGAACTCGATAATTACTCATTTAATATAGGAAGTGATAAAAAAGAGATTGTTTACTTTATGTATTGTTACAAGTCTTCCCATTTATAGTAAGTACCTTTTCCTTATCCCATGTATATGGAAAACATTTCTAAACGTTAAAACACATCATTGGCACATATAAACCTTATGCTAGAGTGATCATCCATATCAGACAAACTACTTAGAATTTTATAATTTCTGCCTTATTGTTCTTTCTGTTGAATAGAACAGGGGCAAGAAAACACCATTCAGTGGACAAATCCAGCTTCCTGACTGTTTTTGTGAATTAAGTATTATTGGGACACAGCCGCACTCATTTATTTACATATTATCTATGGCTACTTTAATGCTATATCAAAGTAACTGGCAATGCAAGACCTTATGGTCCACAAAGCCTAAAATATTTACTGTCTATCTGGCTCTATAGAGAAAATGTTTGCAGACATCTGGGCAGAATAACAACAATAGAAAGTAAAAGTTACTCTCATCTTTCTCTGATTAACTAAACTTTTTAAGCTAGCACCCTAAATATCCATTCAGTCAAATATTTGCTGTTTCAGAGATGTTCCTTCCAAATCATTTTAAACTATCTCTTGTGAAACTGTACAAGCTATAAGATTCTCTCATTTGAAATACTCTGATTTATTGCTCAAAATAGGAGTGCTTCCGTCTACATGATTGTTCTTTCTCTCAATTTAAATCACTTGCAAATTAAAATTTGCAAATTTAATAAAGGTTATTTAATGCTGAAATATCCATATTTTCTTAGGTATACTACTTGCTTCCTTGCTTGTCAAGGGAATTCTACTCCCACACATATTCCAACAAGACCCCACACTTCACTTATATACCTATCTGATAGCCTTAAGTTTGCCCTTAAGAGGAAAAGGTCACACCATTTTGTAGTTACAGATGAAAATTGAGTATGCTCAAGTCATAATAGTATAGGCCACGTGAAAGCACTTACACAATAAATACTTTCAGATCATGCCTTTTAAGAGCTAAATAATTTAAAGTAAATAAACATTTCATATTATATCACACAATTCAGAAAGCTTAATGATTCCCATCTTGAATCTCTCTGCCTTTCAAATCTGCGAAATTTCAATTCTATGAACTCTCATTTTACTGCTTTGCAAAATTTGTGTTGGTTAATAAAGGTGCATTGCTACTATAAAAAAAAAAAAATCCACACCATTACAAGCAATTGAGAAGAATGAGAAGTGTCTCAGTGTTTTCTGTGTACCCAACTGAATCAATGGTTTTATTCTCTTGTATTCAATCAAATCCAATCATTAAACAAAAACTTAGGGTATGCTAAATACTCTCATAAGTTGATAATTTTTATAAAGTATACGAAATGTAGTCCTAGTAGATAAGTGGGGTCCCCAAACAACCAGCATCAGCATCTCTGGAAAGTGTAAGAAATGCACATTCCCAAGGGCTCACCCAGACATGTGAAATAAGAACATCTGAGGATGCACTCAATCCATCTGTATTTTCACAGTCACTCCAGGTGTTCAATGCTTTCTAAAGTTTGAAAGTCCAGTCCACAGCCCTGGACATTGGAGAAAGGGATTTACTATAGGCCATCTTTGTCTTACACAGCAATTATGTATACTTGGAAGTGGAATTTTATTCCAAAGATAAATTCTTGCAAAGAAATTATCCATGTAGTTTTAGAATCCTACAATAAAAAAAAACAAGAAGGTGAACTTGATAAATGTTTCTGGTTATAATCAGAATAATTTTGCTCACTTAATAGTTCAACATAATTGAAAAGGAGATTTCATTACCAAAATTAAAAAACAGTAATGCATACATATTGAATACTTACTGTGTGCCAGGCACTGTTCTAAGTATTTTACACATATTTGCTCAGTCTTCACTATAATCCTATGAGAGAGGTACTGTGATTATCCTTAATTTAAGATGAGGGAACTGAAACAGGGAGGAGTTAAGTAACCTGCCGAAGATCACACAGAAAATAAATTAAAGAGGAGAAATTTGAATCCATATTGTCTGACTCTAAAAACTACATTGTTATTCTCAGGATTTGAAAAGCTAATACCTAAAATACTCTCAATATATGAAAAATATGGAATAACTCACAGGCCTAAAATTATTGTATTAATCAGCTCTAACTACCATTACAAAATACAATAGAAATTTATGTTCTCACAGTTATGGAACCTGGAAGTCTAAGATCAGGGTACCAGTATGGTCACGTTTTGATGGAGGCTCTCTTCCTGGCTTGCCAAGGGTCACCTTCTTGCTTTGTGTTCATATGGCCTTTCTATGTTTGAGCACATGGAGAGAGAGAGAGCAAGCTCTGTGGTGTCTAGAGGGTTGCACTCTCATGACCTCTCTAACCCTAATTACCTTCCAGATATCAGCACATTAGGAGTTGTGGCTTCAACATATAAATTTGGGGTGGACACAAACATTCAGTCCATAACAGAACAAAAATCCATTTCAGAGGAAGTGTGAAGAAGAAATTAATGTGAAACTCACAGATGTGTTATCATTCCTGATTGACATTCCCATAGTTTGGGCTCCTGGCTTATTACCTTTTCAGGTTTCACCTAAAGGAATTTAAGATGTGTGCATAAATACATGAACTAGAGGAATTATTTCAGAAATTCTTAATACAGATATGTAAAAGATACTAAAGATATAGCAATACTCCTAGCACTTCTACTGTATTAGAAGAGACACAGGGTAAAAATTATTCCAAGTATCTTGGCACTCGTGTAAGCATGATCATTTTTTAGTATATTCTGTACTGAGTATTCATATAAATGCCAAGTGGCACTATCTTGGGGAAGAAAAAAAAACAACTCTGAAACATGTGTAATGCTATGACATATAGAGTAAGAGACCAAAAAGATTTATAGGCAGAGGTATCAGTCATATCATTTCAAATGGCGAAGGCAAAGCAGGATTTATTACTCATTATGTACACAGTGGTTTTAAAACTTCTTGGTCTAAGGACCCCAAAGAGTTTTCTTTGAGTTATGTCTATCACTATTACTCTATTTGAAATTAAAAACAAATAATTGCTAATGTTTCTATTAATTCATTTAAAAATAACAATAAACCCATTGTATGTTAACATAACCTATATTTTATGAAAAAATTAACTATACCTTCCAAATTTAAAAATTAGTGGAGTGGCATTGCTTTACATTTTTTTTTAAATCTCTTTAATGTCTGGCATAATAGAAGACAGAAGATTCTTCTATCTCTTTTTGCATTCAGTTTTTTGTTGTTTTCGTTGAAATACATGAAAAAAATTTTACTTCTCACACATGTATAGTAGAAAATGGGGAAGTTTGATTTCCTGTTCAGATTAATACTATACTGAGGCTGAACAAGTGGCAGTTATTGACAGGTTGCTTGTAGTGAGGAATTTTAAACCATATCAATGAATTTTTCTTGCTCTGTTACGTTACCCACTGGTTATTTACAAGTCTGTTGAATAATTTTCCATACATTTGTGAATTTACATTTATTGAGGCTTGTTTTATGGTCTACTACTTGGTTCCCCCTGGAGAATGTTCTATGTGTGCTTGATAAGAATATGCATTCTGCTGGAGATGAGTGCAGTTTTCTTTCCACATCTGCTACATCTAAGTGATTTATAGTATTAAGTCATCTATTTCCTTGTTGATCTTCTGCCTCATTGTACTATACATTAATAAAACTGGTTTTTTGATAATTATAATAGTATCCAGCCATTATTGTTGAATTATTTATTTCTCCCATCAATTCTTTATGTATTTTGGAACTCTGTTGTTAGGTGCATTTATAATTATGTCTCCTTTTGGGGTGCCTGTCTGGCTCAGTCGGTTGAGTGTCCATCTTCGGCTCAGGTCATGATCTCATGGTCTGTGAGTTCGAGCCCCATGTCAGGCTCTGTGCTGGCAGCTCAGAGCCTGGAGCCTGCTTCAGATTCTGTGTCTCTCTCTCTCTCTGCCCCTCCTGCTCATGCTGTGTCTCTCTCTCTGTCAAAAATAAATGAACATTAAAAAAATGTATAATTATATCTCCTTTTATCATTATAAAATGTCCTTTTTGTCTCTAGTAACAAATTTCCTCTTAAAGTGTATTTTGTCTTAAAGTGTCGTATGGCCACTCCAGCTCTAATTGGGTTACCATCTAGATGGGATTTTAAATCCCTTGTTTCTTATACTCTATTTTTTTAACTTATTTTCTTAGTAGTTTCTCTCAGAATTAGTTTCCATCTTAGAAACAATCTATTTAATTCATATTAATGCCAACTTAATTTCAATAGCATAAAAAAAACTTTGCTCCAGTATACCTCAGTTTACTCCCCCCTCTTTTGTTCTTTTGTTGTCATACAAATTACATCTTCATGCATTATGTGCCAACAACATGGTTTTTTAGTTAATTACTTGCTAAGTGAAATAAGTCAGAGAAAGAGACATCATATGTTTTCACTCATGTGGAATTTGAGAAACTTAACAGAAGACCATGGGGGGAAAGGAAGGGAAAAAAATAGTTTCAAAAGAGAGGGAGGCAACCATAAGAGACTCTTAAATACAGAGAACAAATTGAGGGTTAATGGGGACAAGGGAGAGGGGAAAATGGGTGATGGGCAATGGCACTTGTTGGGATGAGCACTGGGTGTTACATGTAAGTGATGAGTCATGGGAATCTACTTCCAGAGCCAAGGGCACACTGTATCATACTGTGTGTTAGCTAACTTAACAATAAATTATATTTTAAAAAAAAATAAAAATAAAGTAAAAAATAAAGACGTGTTTTTTATAGTATATTGCCCCACATTCAAGCTAACTCAAATAAACTTTTATTTGCCCCCCCCCAAAAAAAACCACAATGAACCACAATGACATACCTCCTCACACCTATTAGAATGGCTAAAATTAACAACTCAGGCAACAACAGATGTTGGCAAGGATGCGAAGAGGATCTCCTTTGCACTGCTGGTGGGAATGCAAACTGGTGCAGTCATTCTGGAAAACATGGATGTTCCTGAAAAAATTAAAAATAGAACTACCCTATGACCCAGCAGTTGCACTACTAGGTATACAGGAGTGCTGATTCGAAGGGATTCATGCACGTCAATGTTTATAGCAGCACTATCAACAATGGCCAAAGTATGGAAAGAGCCCAAATGTCCATCAACAGATGAATGGATAAAGAAGGTGTGTATGTGTATACACACACAGACACACACACAGACACACACACACACACACACACACACACACACATAATGGAATATTGACGATAAAAAAATGAAATCTTGCTATTTGCAACAATGTGGAGGGAACTAGAGTGTATTACGCTAAGCGAAATAAGTCAGAGAAAGACAAATATATGATTTCACTCATCTGTGGAATTTAAGAAACAAAACAGATGAACATAGTGAAGGAAAGCAAAAGTAATAAAAATAAAAATAAAAAAACAGAGAGAAACCATAAGAGACTCATAAATAGAGAACAAACTGAGGGTTGATGGTGGGGTGTTGGGTAGGAGGATGGGCTAACATGTGCGATGAGCATTACAAAGGGCACTTGTTGGGTTGAGCACTGGGTGTTATATGTATAAGTGATGATGAATCACTAAAGTCTATTCCTGAAATAATTATTACACTATATGTTAAGAAACTTGGATTTAAATTTTTTTTAAATAAACTTTTAATGTTTATTTTTATTTTTGAGACAGAGAGAGACAGAGCATGAATGGGGAGGGTCAGAGAGAGAGGGAGACACAGAATCTGAAACAGGCTCCAGGCTCTGAGCAGTCAGCACACAGCCCAACGCGGGGCTCAAACTCACGCACCGCGAGATCGTGACCTGAGCCAAAGTCGGACGCTTAATCGACTGAGCCACCCAGGCGCCCCTAAATTTTAAAAAATAATAAAATAAAAATAAAATCTCTGCTTAGTAAGTCAAACATCTAGGCTGCCTTGGGGGCAATTTCTACTGACTGCTTTTCTTCCCTCTATATATGAACCAAACTCTCCTATTTGTGTCATAATTTTCTGTTAAAAACCAGACATTTTATATAATGGAGATCTCTCCCCTGGGTTTGTTGTTTTTGGTGTTTGTTGTTGTTGCTCCTGTTTTTTCAGTGATTTTCCTGGGCTAATACTTTAAAGTCTCTATTGTGTGTAGCCACTGAATTCCCTACTCAGCCTAAGAGTCAGATATAATTGGATAGACATTTCCTTAAATAAGATATTAGATGAGAGATTAGGGCCTTTGTGGTCTTTTGTCTGGAAACAGTGTTACACGTGTGTGGCCTGCTAGTCTCCAGAAATATGTCAGAGCTTTTCAAAGCCCGTCTTTGAACATCTTGTTCACATTTTGCCTTTTAAGATTTGGTCAACCTCTTATTAGCCCAAACTGATATCAAAGAAGCAATTGCTAATGATTGTTTTTAATAAATGTCCCAGTGTGATAGGGCTATCCACCCAGAGCAAGTTCTCAGTCTTTCCAAATAAAGATAGTTAGAATAGAGCTTTGGTGAAAACTGCCAGACACAGCAAATAGTGACATTTCTCTGTGGATGAGGCTTTGGGAGCTCCCAACCTGTTCTGCCCCTCTATTAGCTGCTATGCTTTCATTTTCACACTAATGTAGTTGCAGAGCTGCTGATTTCAAAGCCTACTTCAGAGCTAGGGAAAGGGTTATAGGAATAGGACAAATTAAAATGCAGCAAAGTGCACTATTCTTAACAATATTCAGTTCTTTTCTTGAAGTTCTTTTCTTTTCAGATGCTTGCAAAATTTTGATTTCCAGAGTCCTGAAAGGATTTGACAATTTTTTTTTTACCAGTGTTCTCATTGCTTTTATGAAGGAGATTTTTGAGGTCCTTACTATACCATTCTAGAAGTGATTCTCCTCTATTATTTTAAAATCCATTGGTCTGTCTTGTACTTTGAATCTTCTTTTATCCATGAATGATTTAATAACATCATGCATTGGTCATTTGGAAAATACTGGTTTACCAAGTTATGCAGATCTTCCCAATATTAACATATTTCATTATATAATATTTTAAAATCACACTTGTTAGGGTGCCTGGGAGGCTGAGTCAGTTAAGTGTCCAACTCTTGATCTCAGCTCAAGTCTTGATCTCAGGGTCATGAGTTTAAGCCCAGCGTTGAGCTCCACACTGGACCTGAAGCCTACTAATTTAACTAATTAAATAAACAAAATAAAATCACACTTGTTATATCACCACTGATCACATCGGAAAAGTTGTTAAGTTTTTAATATTTCAGGCTCACAGTGGTGGATACAAGTCTTCTAAAATTCCAATTTTCAGGGCACCTAGGTGGCTCGCTCAGTCCATTGAGTGTCCATCTCTTGATTTCAGCTCAGGTCATGATCCCAGGTTGTGGAATTGAGCCTCACATCAGGCTCCATGCTAAGCATGGAACCTGCTTAAGATATTTCTCTCTCCCTCTCTCTCTCTCTCTCTTCCCCCCCTTCCCCCCCACCCCTGCCCCCTCCCTTACTTACGCTCGTTCTCTAAAATTTTAAAAATAAATAAAATTCCAATTTTCATTGAGAAGCTCAAATTTTATCA